AAGTAATTGGTTAATATGCAGGGCCTCAGTTTGGAATCAGTAGGCTTTCTTCTCTTTGGTGACAAAAGTGGCTGAGAAGCAGATAGCAGACATAGGACATCTCTATACCTTGGTGGCAGTATGCCCTGGTCTGGACAGCCATGTATTCGCATGCTCCAAACCTGGAATCAGGTTGGTAAAGATGTTCCAGAGTTATTCCCAAAGGCCATTCTCAAGCCTGCAGGAAATGGAGGTCCTGAGAGGAGCTTTCTTTCTTTTGTGGGACTTCCTTTAATAGTTCTTTTGTCACCTAAAGCATGCCACTAAAAGAGCCTCAGTGAATACCAGAGTTTGTTGAAGAATTGGGTATCCAGGAGAAACAGAAAATACTCAAATATTTAAATAAAACATTCCAAATAACAGTCTGATCTCATGTACCTCCTTTCCAAACATCAGCACACACTGTCTCAAAATAGCAGTCCTTTAGGCCTATTGCCTGCTTTGCATATCTAAACAATTTCTCAGTTGGTTAGGTGTGATAGCATCCTGAGCAGATCATTTACTCCTGTTTTCAAATTAAAGAACTTTGTACTTAACATGTAATTTCAGTTTACACTAGTGTGTAAAATATAAGGTAGCAGTTGTTTTTTAAGGTAAAAATTGTTCTTTTCCAGCCATTAGTTTAACTGTTTGTTTTATTTTTGATTTGTAGCACTGCAGTACATGGAAGGATATTTATGCTGAAGGTTACCACTGCTGTGCTAACAGCCAGAAGAGAATATTAGTTTCTCCTTCAGTACAATCAGTTAATCTTTTGTATATCCCATGTCTTTTGTATGGCTTTAATGTGAAATAGGGGCTTGGTTTTCATAGATTTCATAGACCTTAGGGCTGGAAGGGACCTCGGAAGACTATTAAGTCCCACACCCTGCCCCAGGGGCAGGAAGTCAGCTGGGGTCAAAGGATCCCAGCAAGATAAATGTCCAAGTAAGTGTTTTGTAAGATGCTGGAAAAAAAACCTGTCCCCAGTGAATTTGGATGATAGTTGAGGAGGTTGCAACTCAGGGTTAGGTTCTATAATAGATTAATGCAGGGGAAAATTTTCCCTTTATCGTATGATAGCTTTTGGCTACTTTTCTGCTATTTATATTACCTAAGGAAACATTTTTAAAAAATGGATAAGAAGAGTGGTATTGTTTGTGTGTGTGTGTACTTTATTATTTTTTGTCATAAACTTTATTAGTAGTATATATCTCTTATGAATGTTTACCAAGTCCAGTGCATACAATTTATAAAATTAATAAGTAATGGATGATAGTTATTGGACACATTGGGTCCAACTAATGGACCCATTTTCTATGTACTGCATTATTATTTTGCTGATGGGAAGAAAAGATGCATCTTTACTGTTTGTGTTGTGATCCTTTATGTGAATCCATGCTGGATGGACATTAACCTACCCTGCTCCTCAAATGTTAATTAGGGAAGATGCAGGATTATGGCATCAAATCTAAAAAAGGACTTGGTTATCTGAAATGGGAATAAGGTGCAATTTAGGCATCTAAATCCAAAAAACCTCCCTGGCAGCTGCACAATAACCTAAGCACAATAGGTATTTCTATTTTTGATCCATTAAATCCCCCTGGGATCCTGCACAAGCCCAGGAGTACTCCACTCCTGGCAGGACTGAATGAGCTCAGGGTACCTATACACATTCTTTGATATGTTTTAATCAGAACACGTTGGAGCAGACTTAATTAAACAAGTCTGCTGGAAGACAGACTTTTAATTAGAAAGCTCCAGCATGCCTTGCTGTCATGTGTATTAAGCATTCTGTATTTCAAAATGGCAGTGGGGGTGCTTAACTAAAACTTGTCAAATGAGCTTTGGGTAAAACGCCCCCATGGCCATTTTGAAGTGCAAGATGCTTAATGCACATGACACTGCAGCGTTTTAATCACGCCCAGTATAGGAAGCCCAGAAGCCTAACACAGGGCTCTGGGTTCTACTCCAGGTGTTCTTTGCAGGGCTCAGAATTGGGATATCTAAATCCTTTTTGGAAATGTTGCTGCAAGGATAAAAGATCATTTGGTTTTGAGAGATGATGAGCTGATGTGGCCAGCAACATTTTTTTTTAAAAACACCAATCAGAGCAAATTATTTAAAAATGTCTGTTAGTAGAAACTAATTGAATGCCATCTAGGCTGGAATGTACAAAGCAGAGTGCAGCCAAGAATTAATGAGAGAGAAATACTGAATTGGCATTTGAATGCCTTCATCTGTATTCCTTCCAAAAAGAACCTTTATTTGTATATCCTAAGGTGTAAAATGATTAAAGGCAGGCTAGCCAAGCGCACAAAATGTGGATTGGCTGATGCACAAATGCAGGGTTGGCCGGTCATGTTATGCAACAACAGTTAGAGCATTATAATGGAACAATTTTTTCTTCCTCAGCTGAAAATCTCTAAAACTGAATTAAGGAAATGACCTCTCCCTGACCTGTTCTTAGAACAGTTGTTTTTTATAGTCCCTTCTTGGAGCATCTGCAGAAGCTGAAGCTCAGCCCTCTATTTGTCTCTGTGTATCCACTGACACACATTTCTTAAAACATTTTAGTACTTCTGTGTGTAGTTGGTAAGACAAAGGATACCAAGCGCTGATCAAAAAATTATTTAGCGCTTAGTTGTACCATGCAGACATAGTACCTTGCTGGAATCTGTGTGGAGATACCATATCCTAGGTGAGCAGTAGGAGTACTTCTGCAGTGGGAAGTTCATAGCTCCTGCAGTTCCACTGCCGCTAATAGTTTAAGCCTATCCCCTACCGTTTTTCACACCTACTCCATAGCCTGTGTGGGGGCTGCCATGGTTCCAGTGCCTTCAGTTGGTGTTCTCTTTGAGGTGATATACAGCTGAGATAAGTATGGGGAGCACGGTGCTCCCTGTATTCTGCACAGAATCCACTCTGTCAGGCTTCAAGCCATGACCGTTTGGCAACGGGTTAATCCCCATCAAGGATGACCTTGGCTACCACCTTGTTTGCCTACTTCAGTGCCATATTCTGGATGAGTGCTCTGCTTATGAGTCCCCCTCTTCTGGGAATGGTAAGTCCAGGAGTGCACATCTCAAAATATATCACTTTGGACTTGGAAGTGATGGTTAGAACCAGATCATTCGGCTACCATTCCTTTAAGCAGTTGTCTTACTCCAGGATGGGACAGTGGAAGAAAAAGTCAAGAAGATATCCTTTTTGGAGATGTTCCTGATACTGAAGAGGTGATGGGCACTGAAACTGGTCCCATACTGTCTTGTGATGCTGCCTTTCAGTAAGGGCAGATATTTCTTCTCATTGTCAACATGTTCTTTCGTGCCAGCTTTGAGCAGGGATCAATTTTTCCTGCCATTGGAGAATGACCCCAAGGAGGGAAATGGAGAGCTCTTATTCATAGAATCATAGAAAATGAGGGCTGGATGGGACCTCAGGAGGTCATCTAGTCCAACCCCTGCTCAAAGCAGGACCAGCCCCAACCAGCCAGGGCTCTGTTGAGCTGGGTCTTAAAAACCTCCAAGGATGGATATTCCACTACCTCTCTAGGTAACCCATTCCAGTGTTTCACCACCCTCCTAGTAAAAGAGTTTTTCCTAATACAGGTTTCCCTTGCTGTATGTGGGTTCTGTATACGCAAATTTGCTCTTATTCAATGACCCTTTTTATACCAAAAATTTGTTACATGCGAGGTAAATTCACTCTTATGCAATTGGTGTAATGGAAGCCTGCAGTCAGCTGCTTTGTGTGGTGCATTGTGGGAGTGACACCCCCCCAAATATAGTCTCTTGTGCGAATCTGTGCTCCTTGTTCATTGTCTTTGACACGTGTTTCTGTAGTTGCTATCCCCATTATGGTAACATTCACCACCACCCTGTGATGGTGTGTACTGTCTGCTGCTGATGAGTACCAAAACTGTCTTGTAAAAGTGGTAGAAATGGGTCTAGGGGTCAGTACAGTTGAAGTCTTGGAACATATCCCTATTTGTTACATTGTAAAGTGGGTTTCCTTTATGCAAATTCAAGTTATGCGCCATTTTCCAGGAACACATGTCCAGCATAAATGGAGGGAAACCTGTATCCACACCTAAACTTCCCTAACAGCAACTTGAATATAGAGTATATTCAGAGTATAGCTCAGAATATACCCTCCCTGAATGGGAATGAAAGTGGTACAGGACCTGCCAGGGACCATGCCTCCCTGCCCATAGTGGTTATCCTCCCATGTGTCAAGGAGCAGGTCATCCTTCAATATAAAAGAAAAAAATAAGAGATTGCTCTGTGTAATGGCTTTGCTGGCTAGGCTAGCATCTATGTAACTGAAACAAAAGTTGGTAGAGGGACAAGAAGGATGCCTTTTACTAATGGTTCCCTGTGGACCCTGTTGATAGACTTTAATTACATGCGTATTCATTGCCTGGATGTTGCTCATAATTTATTAACTTAAGATACAGCATACTGTCCAGTTCTTATGTAGTAATGGGGTTGCTTTTCAGAATTGTGAAAATCTAAAGGTCAGATCCAGACATGTTGCTACTATCTGATGAATTTGGTTGAAATTGGACTTGCACAGGGAATTTTTATAGAGATTAATTTCTTTAATACACATCCTCTAGGAGTATTGCATGGGTTGTATACTATAAGCTAAATCTGCCAGGCTTTACTGAGTTAAAATTCTCAGTGATGTGAATGGGACTATTGAATATGGGAGGCCTGTAGAATGAAGCTTTTTATATTCACAAAAGTAAATAATTTGACATACGTCCAATGTTATCCATTATAATTTTACTAGTTTATCCTGGAGCAAAATGAAATGAGTATCAACAAAGGGGAAATATTCTGTACAGTATGCCATTCATTTTTCTCTTGTTTTGTTTTTATTTGGATGGCCATCCAATTTTCTTTCTGTCTAGTAAAACATAATCCTGTTTGTATTTGTAAGATTAATGTCAGCTTTTTGTGCTTTGTCATTTGTAGCGGATAAATTTAAAAAGAAACTGGAAGAACTGGAGAGAGAGAAGAATTCTTTAAAATTTCAGCTTCCTTCAAGTCATCCTTCAATTAGGAGCTTCTTGGGCAGATTTCTTGTTCAAGTTCAAGCAGCACTGTCCTGGGCTGCGGATCGGTAAGTTCACTGGCAGCTTGTGACCTGGAATTGTTTCAGGTTTTTTTTTTTTTGCTTGAAATATCGGATAAAATTAATGACTACTTTAACTTATAAATACAAGAGGACTTTTAGAATAGTGATATTTCATCTTTTCTGAGATACTTTTAGTAAATGCTGTAGCATTTTTGCCTTTCTACAAGGGCCTAACCCTGTAACTGTGGCTTTGTTCTCCAAAGTATGTTCAGCACTAGACGGATCCCAAAAATAAAGTTGCAGTCTCTCTCACAAGGGCTAATAGCTTCAAAGAGACAGAATGCAAGATGCTTTAGCTGACCCTGGGGGTGCAGTTAACTAATTTTTTTCCCTGTTTTTACATGTGTGTTTCTGGGTCTCTGTCTTCTTGGTACATCCATGAGTAGTTTCATTAAATGTAAGTTGTCCTTTGTAGATCATTATTGACAGCCATCCTCAATTGCTAGGTGTCTCTGTCAGAAATCTTATTTCCCTGCAACTCCACATTTACAAAGTCTCCTGTGTTACTCTCAATAAACGTGTATTCGTTTTGACCTACATGAGTGCTAGGTAAAGTACCCATAATTGTAATGGGAGTTAGCTGCAGTGATAATCTGTTGATTGTTTTTTGTGATATTGGTTGATTGGTCTATTTCATAGTTTCATAGATGTTAGGGTCAGAAGGAACCTATTAGATCATTGAGTCTGACCCCCTGCCCTGGGCGGGAATGAGTGCTGGGGTCAGAGGACCCCAGCCAGGTGTCTGTCCAATCTCCTTTTAAATACCTTCAAGGAAGAGGAGCTTATTCAATATTTTGGCAACCCTCACTGTAAAGAATTTTTTCCTGATGTCCAATCTGAATTTTCTCTCTTCCAGTTTATGAAACTATTTATAGTTACCCTGACAGGCACCCTGGTAAACATTGTATCCCCTATTTCTTGCTGGCCACCCCTGATAAGTTTGTAGGCAGCCACGAGATCACCTCTCAGCCTCTTCTTGCAGAGGCTGAAGAAGTTCAGGTCTCCCAATCGGTCCACATAGGGCTTTTTCTGTGGGCCTTTACCAGATGAGTGGCCCTCCTCTGAACCCTCTCCAGGCCATCCACATCCCTCCTGAAGTGCGGTGCCCAAACTGAATGCAGTACTCCAGCTGTGGCCTGACCAATGCTGCGAAGAGGGGAAGTATCACCTCCCTAGACCTGTTTGTGATGCACCTACTAATGCAAGAAAGGGTGGGGTTAGCTTTACTTATTACCTCATCACACTGGTGACCTATGTTCATTTTGGAGTTGACTGCAAGTCTGAGATCCCTTTCTGCAGTTGGCTACTTAGAGTGGTACCTCCTAGACTATAGGAGTGTTGATGATTCTTCCTCTCCAGGGGCAACACATGACACTTATCCTTGTTAAACTGCGCCCTATTCTGTTCAGCCCATTTCCCTAGCCTGTCCAAATCAGCCTGAATTCACTCCCTGCTGTCTAGTTTGTGTACCTCCCCCCATAGTTTGGTGTCGTCAGCAAACTTGGACATGGTGCTTTCTACTCCCTTGTCCAAGTCACTACTGAAGATATTGAATAATACTGGTCCCGGGACAGAGCCTTGGGGGACTCCGCTGCCTACATTTCTCCAGGTAGAAACCAACCTGTCTACCACCACTGTCTGGGTGCATCCCATAAGCCAATTTTCTACTCACTGGACTGTATAATAATCTACATTGCAACTGTTTAGTTTATTTGTAAGAATTGGGTGTGACACTGTGTCAAAAGCCTTTTTAAAATGTAAGTAAAGAACATCTACCTCTATGCCTTCATCCAAGCATTTTGTGACCTGGTCGTAAAATGAAACCAGGTTAGTCAGGCAGGATCTGCCTGCTATGAACCCATGCTGATTGCTCCCTAGCATCATTTTACCCGCTGGTCCCCCACAAATGTGATCCTTAACAATTTTCTCAAAGGTCTTGCCAAGAATAGAGGTGAGACTAACCGGCCTATAGTTACCCGGTTCCTCCTTCCTCCCCTTCTTGAAAATAGGGACCACATTGGCCCTTTTCCAGTCCTCCGGGACCTGTCCTGAGTGCCACAAGTGCTCAATGGTTGTGCCAGTGGCTTCGCTATGACTCCAGCTAATTCCCTAAGTACCCTAGGATGAAGATCATCAGGGCCTGTTGACTTAAATACATTCAACTCCTCCAGGTGCCCCTTTACTAGGTCAGCACGAACAGTTGGTGGGTTGGTATCTATACTGGGCTTACCTAAGGTCACAATGGGATGCGTATTTTTATCCATGTCCAGGAACACGGATGCAAAGAAGTCATTTAGAAGCTCCACCTTGGCCATCCTATCTGTTACCAGTTGCCCTAGTTCATCCTGACAGGGCCCTAAGTTACCCTGCACCTTCTTTTTGCTTCCTATGTATACTTAAAGAATGAGAATGGGAGTACCTATCAATCTCCTCCTCAGTCTCCCTGATACCCCGCCACCTGCTCACCTCTGCCTGGAGTTCCCTCGCCTGCCCCTCCAGGGCCTCAATCTTGGCACACGTGGGGCAGGTGAAGGGAGTCCTGTCCTTCCCGCTACCCCTGGGTCCTCGAGGGCCTGCCAGGCAACCCCTGCAGGCAGGGGGCCCAGGTGCTACCAACCCACTCAATGTCTCAATCTGGGTGGAGGCCTCAGTGGAGCTCTGGGCAGGAGGCAGCATCGGGGCAGGGTCCCTGGCTGCATTCTGAGTCACCACCCCCATTAAAGACCCTCACATGCACTCACTTGATGACTCTGACAACTCTGTCCAAAGCTGCTGACTCTGATGCATGGAGTCTCAAGCCCTTCCTGCTCTCCCTCCTGTGCAACTCCCGTGCAAAATCTGGTGCGCCTTTGAAGAGTGTGCCTGTTTGTTTGGCTTGGGAGCATGCCTCCTGCCTGGCGCATCTAAGTAGGGATGGGAGGGGAGGAAATCCCCTTCCCAATTCCCTACACCTAGCCCGGCTTGGCTCTCCCTTCCCTCTCCCAGTCCAGCTTACCTTTTTGCTGCTGCTGGCTCCTCACTCCTTTCTGCTTCGCTTGGTGGGGTCAGGGGAGCCAAGGGCACATGGGCACTGGTGCACACGTGTGCTTGCTTCGGTGTCCAGGTCTCAACTCGTTGACCAATTTATTGACCAATTTGAATTTGTTGACCAATATCTATTTGTTGATTGGTTTATTTGTGGTACCTATATCTATATATGTGGCAAATTATATCTATATAGATATATATGGCAATATCATTTGCCATATAGATATAGATATCACAAATAGATCAATCAACAAACAGAAATTGGTCAACAAATAGACCAATCAACCAGATACAGATATAGATGGCAATATAACTTGTTTTAAAATAAGTATATTCTCTTAGGGTTACCTCTTGTGTGTGACCTCATCTGACAGAAGGGAGCTATGATACAAAGACAGAGTACCATCTATTTATATGGTTAATCATTAAGGGGTGTGTCCCTTGCATATATTAACATAGTATAAAGTATCCTTGTCTCAAAGTGGTTATGTCAGCTTGAATTCTAGGAAATGGATTAATTAAAAAAAATCTTTATTTTGATACAGAATCCTTTAAATAGTATGTCCTGATGATTTTTTTCTTAATATCGTAAAGCCTTTTTTATTCCCTCACTGACGAATTCATATGATTGTTTGTATGGGTCAGAAAAACACCACCCACCTCTTCTTTCCCTTTGCTTTTCTGCTATCGGTCCAGTTGCAGGTTTAGCTTGACTATTTCTGTCATGGCTAATAATCTGTTATCATTTGTTGCCTTTGAAAACATTTTTTATAGTTTCACTCTTTGGTTGATCTTATTTCTCTTCTTCAGGCTCTGCAGTAGGGTGTATTACCTTTATTACGGTAACCTTTTTCCTACAAACTGAAATAAAAGAATTCTGTTCCATGAAAATGTTAAATTTTCAATACTTCTCATTCTGCTTGAGAACAAACACAAGACCTGTAGAAATTTTTCATGAAGAAGGAGAGAGATTTCTCTGAGTCCCAATTAGTCAATAGCTAATTTAGGGAATTCCACCATAGACCTTGGGTAACCTTTATGATGAAAAAAACATGAAACTATTCTTGCCCTGAAATAATTTTGAGTTGTTTGTACTTGTACAAGATAAGGTACTGAGTTTTTAGATGGAAATGTGATTTCCAAGTTGATGACTTTCTTTTAAGAATAACCTTTTTTCATAGTGTGACTTTTCTAGGCTTTTTGCCAGCAAGATTAAAAATCACTTTCTATAAGAGCTGTATGATGTCATATTACAGAAGTGGGCACTTCAGAGAATTTTATGTACTGTTGGGTTGATGAGGGCACAACGATTTGTAATCAGTGAAGACACACACATAAGTGATCTAGCACATAATATACACAGATGATTCTTTCTTCTATTTTGTTTTTGCAGACATGCATGTACATAGTTATCTTGTGATTTATGATGATATTAGGGACAGTATTCTTGCTGCTGTGCACATTAGAGCTAGACTTTTTTCCTCTGATGTGGGATTCTTTTCTGATGTGAGATTCACAGTTTTCAAATCTGAATGCCTAACTGATGTCTGCAAAGTGACCATGATTCTCTTGTCCTGTGTACAACATGTTTATGCAGATAGCCAGTAATTCTCTGTTCAAACTCATTTTGAGTATTTATTGCCATCAGATATTCAAATAAATTTTGTGGGACAATATTACAAAGTCATGACTAAAACCTTGTCCTTGACTGGTGTATTCATTTTAGACCAGATCTTTTTTAATGATACTAAAATGCACTTTCAGTCTTAATGGGTAAACCCACATTTACTTGCTGCATGCATAAATTGACAGAGAAATGCATGCACTAAGACAGAGGATTGCATAAGAAAACATGCTTGCATTATTTGCAGGTGTATTGTGAGAGGCCTACTCTAAATTTCGCACTTAGAATACCTAAAGACATTCAGATAAGTTAGGAGGAGGTTAGATCAGGTTAAAAATGGTCAGGTAAGTTAGGATGGGGCGGGGGGGGAGCTAGTGGAGCAGGCTTGTGAGGTCAGGGGACTAACAGTGTCTGCAGGGTAGCTTGGGATTGGGAGGGCCTAGCAGGGTCTGCAAGGGAGTTGGTGGGCCCTGATCCAGCAAACCAGTCCTGGGACTGGTTTAACCTGTGTTCACCAGTCCTGGGGGCCTGAATGAAGTAGGTCAGGGTGGGGCGAGGGGCAAGCAGGTTGCGGGGGCTAGCAGCTTTGTTGGGGAGGGTTGGTAGGATTGGGGGGGGTGTCATG